CCCCCCCCCCCCCCCCCCAGGTCTGACCAGTTTGAAATCCTGCATGCTCCCACTGTCTCTAGGACGAAGCCTGGACTTCTCCCCTTAGCTCTGCAAGGTTGTGTGGCCCCAGCCCTGTGCCTGCCACTTCAGTCCTCTGGGGCACTTCCCCCTGATCTGCTGGCCACCTGGGCCCCAGCCCATTCCCATCATGTTTTGGGGTGGCCGGAATATGGCCAGCTGGGCTCTGGAGTTGTGCCCTGCCACCCTGCCTGCCTCCTCCCCCGTTGAGCTGTGTGGTCAGTGCCCTGTCCTTTGGTGGTTCCTCCCCTGGATTGGTGACATAGCCAGTGTTGGGAATGGTGAAAGGGGGTGGGGTATGGCTACTTCCCATCAGAGCTGATGTCCTGGGGGCCCCTGGACACAAGGGAATGGATTGCCCCCCTCAGTGATGAGGTCCTGACTCTGCCCTCAAAGTTTTAGAGCCCTTCCTGTGGGGCTCAGTGTGGGGTCCCACAAAAGCCACCACCCTGGGACCCTGACTGGGCCTTAGTCATGGAGGGCCTTTTGGTGCCAACTGTGGGTGTGGGCAAACGGCCCCTTCTCCGTTTCCTGGGTACCAGCTTCTTCCTGAGCAACATAGTTGTTGGGGCCTCTCCTGGGTTCCCCGTGTCCCAGCGCAGCAGCTGCGCCACTCCCACGACGCCTCTGTTCTGCTTCTTCCGGGCCAGTGTCCGGTGGGCGGGGCTGGGGTGAAGTACGGCTGGATTTGTCCGGTCTACCCTCTCCACCCCTGGCAAGTCCTAAGCTGTACCTTGTTTCCCGACCGGGAGGGACACAGGCCGGGGGTAGTGGCGGGGGGAACCTCCCAGGTGACCAGAACCGGGCTGTGCTCAATAAGGCCGTCGGCCCTGACGTGGGGTGGGGAGCTAAGAGCTGGGGAGACCGGTGGGAGCAGACACGCGTCCCCCTAGAGCGTCCGGTGACCACGGGCCCGCCCTGTGCGCTCACCAGGCGACGCTCCGCCTTCCACCCCAGCGGCTGGGGTGCCCCGTGCTTGGGCGCGTCACGGGGGCGGGGCGTTCGGAGCGAGATGGCGGCGGAGCGGGACC